TTCGATTTTGCTCTTGTTCCATTCCTTTCTATCCCCCTATTTCTCAGCTTAGGAATGGGATGTTTACCCTGTACCTTTGTAGGTTGGTGGTGTTTAACTTTCTTTTAATTTTTACAGGAGCTCACAGCTACCAGTTTGCCTTAAATCTGAGACTTTGGACTTGAACTTTTCAGCAGTTCTGAAACTGTTAGCATTTGGCAACTCTTAGAAATGGACTAAAAGCATTTTGCATAAAGGGATGAAAGTGAATCTTTGGGGGGCAGGGGTGAAATGTTATGGTTTATATCTGGATGTCCCTCCAAAGCCTCATCTGCTCATAGATGGGGGTTTGGGGAAGTAACTGGATCATGAGTGTGTGATACTCATCAGTGGATTAGTTCACTGGTGAGTTTGTAGCTAAATGTGATGTTGGGAGGGGAAAACTGGTTGGGAGAAGGTAGGTCACTGGGCCTATGGTGTGGGAGGGTCTCCCTCTCTCTCTTTATTGCTTTCTGCTTCCTGCTGCTGCCATGCCCCTGTGCCATTCAGTCTTGCCTTGGAGGGCAGCCCACTAACTATACACTGAAACCTCTACAAACTGTGAGTCAGAATAAACCTCCCCTCCTCTAACTAGTTCAGTGCTGGGTATTTTGTCCCAGTAATGAGAAAGTAGCAAATACAGGCTGGATTCAAAGCTGTATTGCGCTGTGGTATCAAGCTCCCTGGGATCCCCTGAATCACACCAAGGGGCATGGTTGCCTGGGAAATTGCTGCTGTCCTGTATGCATGTGCACACGTGCAAACAAATCCATTTAATGAAAACATGAGTTTGAATTTGTGCCTGCAGGATGAGAGTGATTCTGCCTCTGGAAAATGTGTGTCAGTGCAGCAGAGGGTCATTTATTTTGATTTGAGGGAGAGTTAATTTACTAAAAATCTTTACTAACAGGAAATATTAGCTCATAAACTTTAGGAAGCATTAGTCCGTGTGACAAGATGCATAAAAGAAAATTGGAGGAGTTAATGCTTAAACTGTAATTAACTCTTTATATTAATCATTTTCTTTGTTCAATAATATTGTGGAATCCAGGAATAACAATGGGTATTCTTTGTTTTTAAAGTGTGCTTATTGTATATGAACACCCTACAAAATCATGAGACTTTCTTTTGAAATATTTCATATTTAATAAAGACTAAGCCAAACATATTTAAAGAAAAATCTTATTTTTTTAACTTCTATTCTGTGGCTACAGTCTATATCAGACAATCCCTCTTTGCTATTAAGATATAGCAACATCAGGGCTGGAGTGTGGCTTACAAGTAGAGTTCTTTCCTAGCATAGGAGAGGCCCTGGGCTCAATTCTCAACACTGAAAAAGAAAGCAGGATGTAGCAAAATCCAATGAAAGAAGCATAGGCCAGGTGTGGTGGCTCAGGCCTATAATCGTAGCACTCTGGGAAGCTGAGGCAGGAGAATCACAAGTTTGAACCTAGCCCTGGCCACTTAGCAAAACCCTGTCTCAAAACAGAAAAATTTGAAAAGGGCTGGGGATGTAGCTCAAGGTGAAATACCACAAAAGAAAAAGGAGGGAGGAAGGAAGGAAAGATGTATGGGATTCAGAGGTAGATTTGAATTCATGATCCCAGATCTGCCACATATCAGATGTATGATTTTGGGGAAATTATTTAATGTAATCCTCAGTTTTTTTGTTAGTTTTTCTGGAAAAAGAGAAATAGCACTAACTCCCTATATAAGGTAGCCAACTGGAGCAACTGCTATGTGCTCAATAAATATTAGTTCTCTTACTTACTCTCTGGAAAAGAAAGTGAGTTGGAAAAAAAAAGTGCAAATAGGCTACCTTCTCTTATATGCAATTTTCCTGCTTAGGAAGTTACATGGCCTTTCTGAACAAAGTAAAAATGAATGCATATCATCTCACAGCTCTCAAAATCTGTGGTGTATCCTCAATGTGTTGTCCCATGTACACATTGTAGCTACTCCACCTTTTCAGTGATGATCATGAGTAGCTCTTTCATCTACACTGTATAAATCTATTTTGTGAATTGTACATATCTGTGCCCTATCAGTTAGCTTTGAGAGTGTTGCTACTAGTTTTCTGGGAAGAGGTAGTAAGAAACTTCTGTTGCAATACAAAAATGCTTTTCCAACTCACCACTTCAATTTTAACAAAAACATTGAGGATGTGACAATGACAGCACTACCTGAACAAGAGTGACAATCTTACCCAAAGAACTCATGTAAATAAATTAATGTGGCTGAGCCAATGATAACTCTTAGAGCAGCTGCCCCATCTTCCCCAACTCCCATAAACCATGTCACCCTGATGAAAGAACCAGCTCAATCTGTTGTAACAAGGAGTGCCTACTACTGTCCACGCACGAGGTGTTATAGGAGAGATGTTTTAGATGTTTAAATGTTCAGAATGCTAAGATTTTAGTTGTGGGGGGGGGGCAAGGGAACGCAAGTAAGCTGCTATACCAACACACAGCTAAAGAACATAGCCTCAGAGCAAGAGGTAAGTTTTGTTGATCATTTAATTCCTCAAAGTAAGGTCATTGTAATCTAAAAGCAGAAAGCTAAATGCAATCCTTGGGGAGCTGCCACGCTGGAAAAAGAGGAAGAAGTTTGAATAGTTAAGTAAACAAAAGAATAAAAGGGAAGGAAAATTTTGAAGGTCAAAACAACAAAAAAAGGGGCCAGGCATTTAGCTCAGTGGTGCCACTGCCTGCTTTGCAAGTGCAAGATCCTGAGTTTGATCCCTGGTACAAAAGAAAATCAGTATTATCAAATACAGCAACAAATTCAAGAAAGAAAACCAGCAAAAAGTGATTTTACCAGGAGGAAATTAGCAGTGGTTTTAAGGTTAAGTGGCTTCTGACTGGGCACATAACAATAAGATATTTGGATTGACATCTTATTTCACACAGAACATTAAAAAGCCTTTATAATCACACTCATTCATTCATTTATTCCATTAGTATTTACTGTGCCATTACAAGTGCTTAACTCTACTGAACTCCGTGTGGTAGGGTTCCAAATAGAAAAGCCATAATTAAATAACAATGGCTCCTTTCTCATAAGCAATCTGGATAAAGTTTTAAATTAAGTGCTTAAGAATGAGTCTCATTTCCCCATAGTTGTTTCAATTTATATTTTTTCTGATGTACTACCCTTTTCTTTTTCTTTTTTAATTAGGAGTAGTACCATTAGAAACCAAGAGGTTGAAGAAGACACTCCCTTCCCTTCATTCAACTGGAAACATAACATCACCCTAATGTTTACCCATGTTTAAGCTTAGGAGGTCATGATGTCAAAGGTGGCATGTCATCGACACAAGTGAGGGATGGAATGGGAAACATCTGGAGTCAAAGATGTCTGACCCTTTAAATACTGGAAGCCTGAGTTATTGGGGTTCCTCTTCCTCCTCCTTTTTTCCTGTCTGTTCCTGCTGCTACCATCCCATGCTCTTCAATAAATCTAGTTACTTATTATGAGGTGTATGCTTCGCAATTCTCTCCTTGTCGTGCACAAGAACCTGGACTATTTTTAGCCCATTCAACTATAACAGGAGCATTTAGTTTGCCAACTTAGGGGGCAGCAAACTTAAAAATTAAATCTCAAAGTATCTTCTGTATGCAATGAGGAAAAGCAGAAATGGTATTTATATCCTGTTAGGTTTTTTTCTACAAACACAAAACCCCATCCAGAATAGTCTAAAGGAACCAAAGTTTTTCTCAGTTTTACACACACACAAAATACGTTTATATTGCCTTGATCTCATAATTTAACAAATTTGTTTGGTCACATCACTGGCTAGGTACTGGTTTGGAGGAGTTAAAAACAGCAAATCTCAACCTTGTGTGAGCTCTGAGGAAAAACAGAAATGGTCTTTATACATTGTATTAGGTATTTACACAAAAGTTTGATGCCTACTACCTAAACCTAAAACCCACGTGAAATAGGCCATGGAAAGCTACCAAGCTTACCACAGTTTTCAGAATATACACCTACAGGTCTCCGCTTTTCAAAGTGGAGTTCAGAGCCACTCTGCAGTGAGAAATCTGATGCCTAGAAATAAGGCAACCCACAGGATATAACTGGCACATCAAAGATAATTATTTTAAACATATATTGTGGAAGATGGTAAAAAATTCACCATTCTTATAAAATAAAACTTCAAAAGAATTTTATTGTGAAGACCAAAGTCTAGGCCTGCAGCATTAAGCAAATTCACCCCCTCTGCCATTAGGGATGTTGCCATGCATAGGCAAAAATGTCCATCCAGCCAATCCTGGTTATGCTTGATTTACATCACTAGATCCCCTCACTCTAATCAGTTATTCTAACTAACAAATTATTAAAGACATGCTAACTTTACAATGCATTAGTTAACATCAGGTAAAGCCTGCTTACCCACTACGTTCAGAATTCAGGTTTACAATCTGGTGCACACAGCTATAAGGGACTTCTGTAACTGGCCATCTTACATAAGCCCACCTTTAAAACAAACTAGCCAACCTGAAGTGTGATGTTGTTTTACTCTTTCTACTTCATATATTTTAATTTTCTATACTTTTTCCTTCTAATAATGAGGAAAAACTAATGAAAACTTTAGAAGTTTTCTCAATACCATCCTAGTGGCTATACCTGTTTGAAAATTGCTCTGATGATTTTTTAAAATGTGCTTCTTTACCTTCACTAATATTAATAGCCAGAACTCTGATTTATTACACTATTTTTGAATTTTGTTTTTAATCACTCCTTATGTCAAAAGCTATCCCATCAAATCTAATGGAAAATAGCCCTCTTATGCAACAACTCCAAGCATTTTAAAACATGTACCCAAAATTCATTATTATTTAAATCAGTTTTTGTCCATTTTATCTATAACAGTAATTGATTCCCCTTTACCATCAATTAAGCAACCATGTGGCAATCAAAGATGAAATAGGTTCCACTAATGGATGTATAATGAGACTCAAAACCAAGTAAACAATGGCCCCGTTTCAACACAAATTTTAATAATTATTAATTTCCTTATTATATTGAAGATATAGGTTACATCCTTCCCTATACAATTTTTTTCTATACATTTTAATGCAAAATATATAACAAAAAATTTAATCTCTAAGAGAATGCTAAGCACATACCATTTCATAACATGGAATGCAATCCTACCACAGGAAATAATTTTTAACACAGGGACGTTAAATTTTTAACAACAGAGTCAAAGCCTGTCACATTTCATACCTAAAAATGTACTTCCAAGCAGAAATATGGAGCTTCACTTTGCCAGTGTAAAATGGTCATCTCAGTAGATTTTTTAGAAGAAAACACAATTCTTTTACAGGAAAACAATATTTATTGTGTAACAGATTTATATTTACTAATCAAAGTCACAAATCAAAATGAAGACTATTAAAGTTGACCATAATATTAACAAGTGATATCAACCTGTTAAGGAAATTCTAGCTAAAGTTAATGAAGTTCCACTAAATTCCTAAGGAAAATATAATAATTCTGGCACCATTAAGGCAAAAATTAGAACCTTCCAAACCATCAGGAAAGTATAAATATAGTATCAGTATAGATGCTTTAATATTGAGGCAAGGAAATGTAAATTGTGCTAAAACCTATTTATCACAGAATACGGATAGTGCTTTTTACTCTCAGTGCTTTAGACCCAAGGTCCTAGACCGGTGATGGTGAACTTTTCAGAACTTTCAATGATAACCACCGGCTGGCTACAAAATGTGTGCCATAGGTTCACCACCACTGCCTTAGACTGTTACCACCCCCAGGAACTCCAATGATAGGTTCTATCCAATGACTAGTTGTTGAGGGCTGGTGATTTAGTTCAGTGGTTCCCCCGCCTGCCTCGCAAGCACAAGGTACCACCAATGACTAGTTGGAATTAAATTACACAGTGTGATTCTGCCTGTCAGGAGAACAGAGACTAATAGAACATTTTATTTTCTTGGTACAAATTACACAATTAAACCAAATAATCTTGGTTGGGAAGGGGCCAGTTCAAAGAGATCAATTTTCTATCACATCAAATCAATAGCAAATTCAGCAGAGGAGTTAAGTTTCTACCAACACTATATCAAAATAGCAAATTTACAGTGCCTTTCAAAAGCTCCACAGTGAGAAAAATGAAATTCAAGAGAAATAGTATTACTTCATTTACAGATTATTAGCTCTTCCAGTGTTTCAGAAGGATACAAGGTTTCAATGACATAAAATGAATGGGACAGAGGTGGACTTAGAATGTACTAAACAAATATATTGATTAAATGTCTATTGCTATAGTTTTTTAGCTTACTGGTAATTAATATCACCAGTCTTCCATCCAAGTGATCTTAGATTTCAAAAAGGGAAATCTAGGTATCCTAAAATTGAAGAAAAAAAGTTAATTTAAGGGCCGGGGATGTAGCTCAGTGCTGCTGCACCTGCCTGGCAAGCTCAAGGTCCTGAGTTTGATTCCTGGTACACGGAAAAAAAAGAAAAGAAAAAAATTAATTTATTCATTACCCAAACCCCAATATCTGTATTTATTTGCTTACATTCTAATATATTCCTACTTATGAATACTTTCCTATGTGTTCCCAGTCTGTGGCTCAATTAAAACGTGAAGTGTGCCCTAGTCAACAACTCTCATAATAGTTCACCATTTCCCCTAAATCTAGTTCCTGGTTAGGCTAGATGAGTTCACGGCTACTAACAAATCTTTTTGCAAAGAAAGCAACATTCTCAAGTACTGATAAAGACTGGTGGATGAAAACTAGGTAAAGAGAGAAGGAAAATGCCAATATTGGTCAAGAGCAGAGTATACTTGCCAGGGAACCCCATGAATATGGTCACTTACAATGATTGGTTTCTCTTCAATCTAGGTCAAAATTAAGTGAGAAAGGGGACCATTTCTGATGTTTAGGTTGATATGTGTATGTAAACATGTAAACCTAGAGGGACCCTTTTGTTGCATAAACAGAGAAAGTGGCACAGACAAGCTAAATTATTCTTTTCTGGCCAGGCCTTGTATATACAAGAACCTAACTTGCCTGTGGCAGGGTTTACATAACAAAAACAATGTTTGAATATGTTGCTGGACAAGAAAGACCTTGACAAACTCAGTCCATGTATCACATGCACAGCTGGAGTAAATATCGTTAACAGACTTAAGGACCAAAATAAACGCACCTTAAAGTTGGAGAGGAATAAGCCTGTGTATATGCTGGTTACACTATCTCATACTGGTTATTTGTTATGGCATGAGAGAGGCAGTAGGCTAGAAAGATTCCAATTAGCTGGAAAGAAAATATGAATAAAATTAAACACACACACATGAGCTTGCTCCCAGAGTTTTAAAAAGACATGTATTGGTATGAGATAACTCTAAGTCTTGTTTTTTGTACTTTCAAATCATGATTGGCCATAGCAACAGAAATATAAAGTTGGAGAACTATGTTGTGGTGGAGATCACTATTGGAAAAGGAAAGATCTAAGATACCCTCCCCCTCTTAAAAAAAAACCCGAGTTACAACCCAATCACAAACCAAAATCAGTAATACTATGCATACAAGTCACTCCACTATAAGAAAAATAAAAGTATTCCTTACACTGTGACTAGTAACTGACAGCTTTGTGAAAATGTGACTTTTCTTATTGCCCTCACTTGATCCAGGCCCCTGAAGCAAAACCTTCAAGCTTAAAAGTGAAAATCTATAAGGAAAATGAAACATTGCCTATGGAACTACATGGACTTACCTGGAAGCAAGCAACTCCAAAGGAAATTCCTGCAACAACTCCCATTTCTGACTCAATAATGGCCATCACCTTTAAAAAACAACCCTAATGGGGGGAGGAGAACATTAAGTACAACACAAGCGATCTCTGCTTTTCTTTATGAGAATAAATTCTTTGATCATACTACTTTTGCTAGCTGTATAAAATCAAGCCCTATCTGTCCTATCTACTTCAGATTATGTGTACTAATGTTAGTAAAAATTAAGTATAGTTGATTCTGTATTAAATCCTCAAATATTTTCAAGTAAGTTTTTAAAGGCTCCTTACTTCATGGTTGATTTTATCTGCATCTCTCTGTGGTGAACAATCTTCAAGTTTACAACAACTCTTGGGAAATCCTGCTTCTGAGTAATAATTAGTATCTTCCCAATTTCTATAATCAGTGACACCGCAACAATGCAACTGAAAAATCCAACAAAGGCATTTATAGTACATATTACAACTTTGTAGTCAAACATTCAAAGTAACATCATCTGAAGTTTGCACTCAAAACATTTACTACACTTATCTCTCTCCTCAACTGATTCTAACATCAGCTGTGAGTTTTGGACTGGCCTTACTTTCCTGCTATAGTTGGCACTAATAGTATTTGTCTATGATGTAAGTGGAGAGGAAGAGAACAGGGACATATGTGAGGAGAATGAAATGCAGGCATGTCACTTAGCATTATCCCACTTTTTTCCCATGCAGGTGGACAACACGTAGTGGTCTGGCTTTGTCCTTTTCAATAAGGTGATAGGGAATGTGTCCCCTTTTAGAGAAGCCACCACCTACAAACTCTTACCATATTTTGGATCTTGTCTACTGCTTCGCTTCTATAATCTCCTGTAGAGTTATACTGTTTCAAAGCCTTCTCATAATTATTCTTAAAGCTGTTCTTAATCTACAGCAAAAAAAAACCCAGTAAATATTCTAGTTCTAGGTCAAGTAATAAATTCTTACATCTGACTAATGATAATATATTTGATATGCAGTAATTGGTTCAATTCTGTCCACTAAGAGTTCCAGTCTAGCTGAGGGAACCAGTAAGCAAAACTTTATAAGATGAAAACTACTATAAAGTTCAAAGTGCTGTGGGCGAAAGTACTTATCCCAATGGCAGCGCTATATTGCTTGTTCTATTCCCCACACACACACACAATCTTTCCTCACTTTAAACTGAATACAAATTTGACGCCTATGGAATTAAGCTACTAAACCTTACTTTGGGAGACTGCACTAACAGTATGTAAAATGCTCTCATTGATGAACTGTCACTACACTGATTTCCTAACACCAGGTCAAGCTTATTTCTAATTCAATATTAAGCTTTTGATTGTTTGCATTAAGTATATCTAGCCTTTTAAAAATGTATAGCCTGCCTGGCATGGTGATGCATGCCTATAATCCCAGCACTTGGGAGGTTGAGACAGGAGGATCGCCATGAGTTCAGGGCCATCCTGGGCTACATAATGAATTCAAAGCCAGTCTGAACTACATGGTGAGATCCTGTCTCAAAAAAAAAAAAAAAAAACAATGTGTGGCTTTCGTGGAGGAGGTTTCAATTTTCTTATCAGTTTTGTATTTTATTTTCTTATCAGTACAAAGTTATAAATTGCATTATTTCCTCTTGAATAAGTATTTATATAAAGAAAAATAACTGGTACCCATGTAATTTTGAATACCTTTAATTTAATTCTTTGCTGGTGATTTCCAAATTTTCATTTATATTAAAAGTGGGTCAGAATTCTTATTAGAAAGCTATTACTGTCAGCTATAGGCTGAAAAGTAAGCTCTAAAGTCAGCTGTGATTTTAAACAATTAAAAATTCTCTAACTCTGCAACTTAAATTAATCCATTTTTATCTTTTAGAAGGTAAATTTTAACATATTAAGATTCTTGCCAGAGATTTAGTTCAGTGGTGCCGCTGCCTGCCTTGCAAGCACAAGGTCCTGAGTTCGATCCCCGGTATCAAACAAAAGGATTCTCTATTTTTCTCTATTTCAGGCTTACCTCATGTCTGAAAATAAATCCTACAATGGCAGCAACCAGTTCAACCAAAAAAATGAGAATCAGAAACATTGCATACTGTGGGATAAAAAGAAAGTGCAAGTCAGCATAAATAAGATATAACAGCTGCAAAGGGAGTCAAAGTGGGGGAAAACGTTCTGCTCAATCAGCTCAGTGTGCTTTTAATGAAAACGGCAGGGAAAATAATATCAAAATGTCTATTTTGAAAGTGGAAATTGGCAGCTTAACTGTTACTTGGTAAGTTTTCATAAGGAACAGGAAAAATTATAAAAGGCTATGGCCAGATCCAAGAAACAAAGCCTACAACTTATAAGGCTTTTCTAAAACCAAGAATCAATTCTAAGGAAAACAAGGACTCACCAGTTTTAGCATCCATGCAGAAGCTTGGCAGGTAGCAAAACAACCAAAGGTGCCCAAAAGAATAATGACAGTGCCGGTGGCAATGAGCACAAAGGGGACGTTGGTGGCCTTCTCATTTAAAAGGGAAAAATAATTTCCCAGGCTCACCTTGCCCCAAATGCCCACAGCAAGAAGGATTATGCCAGTGATCTATGTGAAAAATCAGAGAATAGAAATAGTTAGGCCCTCTATACACTAGTATCTTCAAAGCATAAACCAGGAAGCATTTAAGACACAATGGGTGTGAGAATTAAAATTTAGCAGTCCGGTGGCCACAGACCTGTGGGTGCAATAAAAGGGGAGAGTGGAAGAGGGTGGGAAGGAGATCTGTACACAAAGATAAGCTGTGAACAAGACATCTTACCAAAATACTTTAAATTTATCTGGGGGGGATGGGGTTAAACACAAGCCCGGGGTATACAATATTAGCTGTAGGGATCAAAACTTCCTTAGTTGTTTTACTCCCCTGACTTTGCAAGAAAATGCTGGTGGGACAAAAAATGTGTTTTAGTTCCAGAAACATCCCTCTCCCCCAGTTAAGGGATGAACACAGGATACAAAGGGATGGTCTACAAAAGTAAACCCAAGGACAGATTGGCAGGAGTGCAGCCATACCATACTTACCTGTGAAACACTCCCCTCTTATGAAGCAGGGAAAAGAAAGATACAGTACTATTATGTAAGCGAGCACTCAAAGGAGCCAGACAAGCCTTGCCTCCTGCTTTGTGGGTTTAATTCAAGTCCTCCCTTGCCGCAGCGAACGCCTGGCCCGCCTGGGGCCCGGCTCGGGCTGTGGGCTACCTTCATTCCGCACCACGGTGTGAGTTCCAAGCTCACGCCCCAGACATTCCTCGCCCGCGGCGGGGGCCGCCAGACCCCACCCTACTGTGGACCCAAGTTCCCTCCGCTCAGGTCACACCTTCACCTAAGCCCGGGACCCCCGCCCTCCTTCAGCGCCTCGCTCTCTCACCCAAAAGATGAAGGTGTAGATCAAGAGAAGGCTCTTGAGACAAGTAATGACTGGTTTAGTCTGCAGTCTCCGAGAAGGGGACGCCATAACCAGCCCAGACCCTGCACCGCCGCACTGGCGGCGTTGGAACCGGGAAAGCGAGACCCAGAGTCCCCGAGCTTCTCCGAAAACTTAACGAGCCACTGTAACTGAGAAGAGCCGGAAACACTGTACAGTTTTCTAGAGAGTAAAGTCTGGGAGGTTGTTCTGAAACTGGCGACAATTTCCGAGCGCCCCCTGCTGAAGTTTACTAAAAACTACATACAAATCTTCTAGTCGGAAATTTCAGGTCTTCTGGGGAGCTTGCTTCTTTTATTCTCTCCCAAAGCATCTTTCCCGCCCCCACCACTCTCTCTCACCCTAAAACTTAATCATATTATTTCTATCACCAGAACACCCAGCATCGCTCTAAGATTCGGCCTCCTCGGCCCCTGTATCCTAGAAAGAAGGAAAAGAATGAAAGAAGTTGTTTAGAAGCAACCTAAGAATATGTTATTACATGGGAAAATCCTCATAAGAAATATATGTCCAAAGAGAAACAAAACATATTACAAAGCAATACGTACAACTGTATGCATTTAAACAAAAATTGGAAAGTGAATTTACCTAAATATTAGAATTGGACTGATTTTTTTTCTCACTTATTTTGTGCTTTTCAGTTTGTTTTGTGGGATGGGAAGGGGGGATAACAATGTATGACTAAAGGGAAATAATCACTTGTTGAAAGAATTCCAACGCTAGCTATTAAAGATAATAATCGTTTTTAGAATTTCCATCAGAAGTTTGCAAAACTCCATTATCCCAGTCCTCTTTTATCTAAGTAATTGTAAAGTTCAGCCATTAACTACAAATTTTTAAAAAGGAAGAGTGCTATAGAGAATGCTAGGTAATTGTAACCCCTTTATTCGATGTTGAAAGTGAAAGGCACTGTATATTTTAGCCCTGTGATTTTTCCCATTAAGAACCAACTGATCGCAGATAGGCTAAGAACTAAGGTTACCCAGCTAATAGCAAAGCCCAAAATAGCGACTTTTTGCTTTTTAATCCAAGCTGTTTTATCTATTATACAAACTGCAGCTGTAATTTGGTTTTAAGATGTCTGCCTCTCCCCAAAGAAACTCTCCCAATTGTTTAGATCTTCCTAGAATTTGAGATTATGTTTTACTCCTAAAGTGTTAAACTCTGCAGGATGGGAATGAATAACCAAAAGTTTCTTTTCTCATATGTCCAGAAGCAGTGCTAAGTCAACCACAGAGGTAGAGTGGAATTTAAAAAATTTAAAAATTATTTAAAACTCAGCACTTTGCACATTTTCCTCAACAAAAACAGACCTTTTTATTTTTGACTGGATTTTAAGAAGGGTTAAATGTAAAGACAAATCTCTGGAGGCCTAGAAAACTTGGATCATGAAAAATAAGCAGAGTATTAAAGTTATCTCCATCTGTAAAATGGAGGTAATTTTTTATTTCAAAGGGGGTATAGGTGGAAGTGCTTAACCTGATATACAAGAATAAGTCCATATATTTATCAAGATATAGATATCGGTTAATTCTGTGCCTCTCAGTAAAGGGTGGGAAAATGAGCCTCAGTGTTACAGATTCCCACTGTTTCCTGCTTTCTGGCACCTCTTCGGCTCTAAGACTGACTAAATGATACATTCTAAATTGTCCTCAATTTAAATAGGTGATTTACTTCTCATAGAAACCTCAGGGTAGAGGTGTCTTTTTCATGCAGTCATGTTCAAAATGCATTTACAAAATAATTTAAATACAAATGGATTAATAAAGTAGTATAGGCATCCTGATTGCACCTTTCCCCTATTTTTCACTCTTAAATCATGTATGTAGGTCCATGTTTCAATGTTATGTATTGTGAATATATTGGTCTATATTGTTGTAGCACAGAATATCTGTTGAAGTCTGGTTTCTCAGCTAAAGGATAAGCTCTTTGAGGGCAGAAACCAATTGTCAAGTAAGTGCCTGTTATCTCTGGAGGAATAGGGTTAGAAAGCAATATCAGTTCCCTATCTAATCCATCTCATCATTGGAACAAGCTTGACATCACAAAGGTCCTTTTGCTATTGCAAAAGGTCCTGTTTTCTTTCTTTTTTTTTTTTCTTTTCTTTTTTTTTTGGTACCGGGGATCGAACTCGGGACCTTGTGCTTGCGAGGCAGGTGGCAGAACCACTGAGCTAAATCCCTGGCAGTCCTGTTTTCATGGAGGAGAGATTAATGCCCAAAATTTTCTGCTTGAAATTTTGTTTAAAACATATACCAAAGGGGCCAGGGATTTAGCTCAGTGGTTCCGGTGCCTGCCTCGCAAGCGCAAGGTCCCAAGTTCGATCCCCAGTGCCAAAAAAAAAAAAAAAAAAAAAACCAAAGAACCAGAAAACAGGAAAGTTCAGAACCAGAAAAGAGGAAAGTTCTATTGGCTTGGTCACACAGAGCTTTCCTGTGCTTTGAGTATTGACCTAGGACTAGCTCCTGTAACATCCTGCCAGACATCTGAAGTTCAAGGGAACAGCTATTAGAAAAGGAATAAATTATTGCACTGCCAGACTTTATACTAAAATTTTATGCTAAAATCAGCCCTTAAAAATACATGGAAAGAATTGACAAATCATCCATCTATATACATCAAATAGTCTTATATATAAACACTTTGAGGCAAAGTCATCTGGAAACATTCTGGCATTCAATTTTTAAAATGCCATGTATACCACAACTACAGGAGAGAAGGCTAGAGGGGCGGCAGATATATCCACAGTTTTCTCTCTAGGTTAAATGATCTTAACTAAAAAGTCCTTGTATTAAAAACAAGTATCAAGGGGGAAGTCTTGCTAACTCCTTGTCATTTCAAACAGAAAGTTTACTTTAAAGCATAGGCTTATACCATGTCTTGGAAGTGATTTTCGCTGTTAGACTAAAAGCACAGAAATATTTCTGTGGCTAAAGAAAAATAAAATAGCTAAAGCAAAAACCACATCTCATTTCCAATACGTTGACTTTCTTCCTCTCCCTTCCTTTGCCACTTACAACACAACATTGCTTTATTTAAATAGTCAGTGCCAAATTAAACCAAATGCTGGCATGGAAATTAACATTCCTATAGCCACAACACCTTATACCAGTGCCTCCCACCCTGCTACACCCACTTCCTGCCCCCCTCTACCATGCCACCAAACCCAGAAATTCAGTTTAATTTAAACTAGGGTCCAAACCCAAATCAAAGGGATAAATTAATTTGCTAAAATATTCATAAAGACTGTGAGAGTGAACACAATGTACCAGCCACTGTTGCTAAGTGCTTAATACCTGTTAACTCATACATCATAAAATCCCTACTATGATGTCAGCACTTCCACTGTCCTCGTTCTATAAATGAAGAAACAGGTTCAAAGAAGGTAAGTAACTTGCCTCGGACTAAGCTCAGCCTAATTCTGTTTCTTTCATCAGATGCAAGACCCACTCTGTGGTGAGACATGGCTGCTGTTGTACAGCTCTCTTGGCTTGGAATAACGTAGACATTTAGCTAAAACCAAGGGCTCTTTGAAGCCCCCAAAGGACAAAGAGCTTGGTCTTTACCCTAATTCTGTCTTGTTCTTGGGGATTTTGTTCAGTGTTACTTTTGCCCTCAATTTAATTGCCCAATCACTTAGGAAGTAACCCTACTTGTCTCAGAGTGGCAAGAAGAGAGTTCATTATTTTTTCTGTTTCAACCTCTTAATCTCTTCCCTTTCTGAGCACAAAAACGCATTTGATGCCCAAAATGAAGGAAAAGGGGAAAATACTTGCTTTATATTCAACATTTAGTAAGGATTACTTATTGTCCCTTCCTTAACTTCCTGTGACTTTCAATATTAGGTTTAAATGGTTTTCTTTGGAAAACCTTAGGCAAAGGAAATGATATTATCAAGAGCTCACTTTTAAGTCAGCCCTCCCCTGTGCCACCCCCACCCTCCACCCCTGCTAACCACTAGCCACCAACACAATCTTAACCTATCTCCCACTGCTTCTCTAGTGTGTTTTCTTGTCTACCTCAACCAATATGATTATCCTCTCAATACACAAGGCCTGTTCCCTACTCCTTGCCCATCCTCCAACCTCAAAATTGCTTCCTCTACTCAATGTTCACCTTCATCTCAACTCATTGGGAACATGCTCCCTTCATAGCCTCACCTCTTTTCCTAACATCAGTGCTCATAGTCTGATCACATACATTAACTCACACTGTTTGTCAATTACTGCAGTACCTACTTTGCATTTCTACTTAGCTATTTTATATACTGAGTCTGGATATTCAAAAATTACAGAAGACCCAGTGTGGCAGAGCCTCTGTGGCTTTTTTATGTTCTCCTCAACACCCTAGGGCATAATGCCCAATTGATGAGCTCACCTGATGCTCAGCCAACCCCTGTTGAGTGCATTGTTCATTAAAGCATGGTTGGCCTTTAGGGCTAATGGAGTAGTAGTTTCACAAGGATTGATTATTTAAATTAAATAAAAAACTAAAGGTCTCAGCCATTTTGCTATCACACTGTCATAACACAGGCGTATTAAGATGAGCTGCTAATATAGGAGGTGGGACATGGCAAAGCTGTCTGGAGAAGTGGAAGGAACCTGTAAATTACAAGATCCCAGGGAAGTGCCAGATAATTTCTCACAAGGTCCCAGGAGATGTAGACTGCATATAAGGATGCAGATGCCACAAAGAGCCCACTATCATGACTCTTTATGATAGCCCGTTATGGGTCTCTTAGACCCAGGATGTACTTTTATTTTTGCTCTTTTTTTCCTTTCTCTCTTTTGTTTGGCTCAAGTTTTCTGTGCAGAGCTAGTTCATCCCTTAGCTCTTCACTCCTGATTTTCAAATGTTTGAGACCTTTTTTTTTGGCTTGGCTTGTCCAATTCTTTGTTCCAGACAAGAAGGACCTGGAATACTTTTGTTTGGTGAGCCATTTCTAAAAGAACTACCTGACAACACTGCTAGATAATGTCTTGAGACATTCCCCTTCTGTGCCTTAAGAAGTAGTAAAAAGACATCAACCATTTCACTCAGAATACATTTTATGTGTTATTCATATATTAACCTTACCGTTTTCATTTTCACATTCCTTTTGTATTGTCCCTTAAATTACACTTATCAGTATACATTTATCTGTTATTCACATAATAACCTTACCATTTTCATTTTCTAATTCCTTTTCTAGTATCCCTTCAATTACCTTTGGCTAAGTGGGCTAAGTGCCTATTATGAAATTTAAAGCATTTGCTATTCTCTTAAAATCTCATGCGTTACATTACAGCCACCTGATAGCTTATAATTTCATCAGTTAATTCATATTTACAGTTTTAAAAGTTACATTCTTCTCTTTTTTTTTAATTTTATTGGCACAATTTAGATATACATAATGATCACATTCATCATAGGAAGTTTGTACCTATACACGGTATATCTTGATTCCTCTCTTTTTTCCCAATCTACTCCCTTCCCTTCAACCTCTCTTCCCCTCCTTTTTTACAGAAGCTTTATTTCCATTTTTTCCTTATTATTTTTTTCTTTTCCCTTCCTTCTTTTCCCCCTACTCCCTCCCTAGTTCCTTTTGAATAATTTCTTGCTATTTCACAGTATCTACTGTACATTTCCTTTTGAATAATTTCTTCCTATTTCACAGTATCTATTATACATTTTGGTCCTTATTTACTATTTCAGTTTTTCATACCAGAGAGACAATGTGATATTTACATGTGTGTATGATTTATTTCACTTAAGAGTATAGTCTCAAGGTGCATCCATTTAGCTATAAATGTCTCAAGTTTATCTTTCTTTCTGGCTGAGTAGTAATCCATTGGATTAAAAAACCACATCTTTTTTTGTCCATTCATTGGTCGATAAGCATTTGGATTGTTTCCAAGATTTAGCTATTACAAATTATGTTGCTATAAACATGGGTGTGCATATACCATTATGGTATGATGCTTTTAATTCTTTTGGGAAGATACCCAGAAGGGGAATATCTGGGTCAAATGAGACCTCTCATCCTAGT